TTACATCTATTTATTTATATTCGATTTTAAAAATAATACTAACATAATAATTTGCAAAAATTATATATCATTATAATTCAAATTTCTACAAAATTTGATGAAGATTTTTGAAAGTCGATTTTAATAAGAAATTAATGAAAAAAAATATTACTAACGAGAAAATATATAAGTTTTATACTCGGTTATCCGAGTATTCAAATAAAATAAAAGTTCGTCAAATTTTTATCGTTAGCGATATAGCATTGATTTATATATATTTCAATATATTTACATATATACGTATATTCACTCGTAATACGGGAGTGCTTGATATATAATTATTAAAATATTTTTTTAATTAATTTTTTTTCTTTACTTTTAATTGATTCTTTTATTTTTTTATTAATTATATATGATGAGTAAATTATATACTTTTAAACATCTAACAGAAATGCACGGAAACGGTTTTAACATTCAGATTATTGAATTTATAAAAACCGAGAAAGTAGAATTTTAGAGAGTTAGCGATGCTTTTAAAGTTTTCTAGCTAATATATTATATTATATTTCATTTATGACTCAAGACTTTGAAAAACTTTTATATTTCATTAATAACAAAAATTTAACAATTAACGAGTTAATAAGAAACTAACGAGTTAGTAAAAAACTAACAAGTTAGCAATATTTCTCTAGTCCAATGTAAATACTACGAGTTTAAAATTATTTTTAGTGAGTTCGATTCACACTAGTGGCAGCTTTACGTTTGAAAATGTTATTGGTTGCGTTCACAATATCCTGGAACTTAAAGCTTGAAAATTGCTTTATTGGTGTGTAATGGTATATAGATATACAATGCTTATTGTGAAAAAAATGAATACTGCACATGTATGTCTATCAAGCCAGCTGAAACTGAAGACAGGATGATTAAATATATTACTCATACTCTCATCACCTTATCTTGTATTAAAAATCGTTCTAAATCATCAAGTTGCGCTAGTGTGAACAGGCTCATTCTTGCTTCATCCAGAAGTAAAAATTTTAAAAGTATTTAAAAAGCGGAATAAGATAATAATGAACGTGAAAACTAAAAATGAAAAAAAAGTATACGACACATCTTTGATATTATATTATATTAAAATAATTATATTTTAATTATATAAAAAGAGAAGTAGGGTATTTGAGTTGCCTTTTAGTTTCACAATAAACATATTATAATTTTTTGCTATAATATATATCACCTATATATCAGAATAAGAACAAACGAATAAATATCTTTAATTACAAAAACAATTCAAACGAAACGAATAAATATAAACTTAAGAACTTAGTGAGGATTTTAAATTTTTCATCAAAAAGAGATAAATGTAATTATCTTTTTTAAATAAAATTTAAATCATCTAATTATTTTTTGTTTTTGTTGCATTATTGTAAAATAAAAATATTAGAATTTTGAAGTAATATATATATAAAGGAATGATGATGATAAAAACGATTGAACATAAAATTAGTGTGCTTATTGTGTAAAATAAAAATAAAATAAAAAATGAAAAGTTTTGAAGTGTATAATGAGTATAATTAAGAAAGTAACGAGTATGCTCAAAACTTTACGTATTTTGCTCATAATGTACTTTGAACACTAGTTGTTTTATTGTGAAAAAAAAACAACACAAATAAAAAATTAAATAAATTCAATTTCAATGTGAAGTGTGTTATAGGAATAATGCGTAAACTAACGAGTATTAATACGACTAGTGATAGTAACGGTTACACACAAAACTCGTAAGCTTAGTAACTAGTAAGTACATCATCTCTATAAAATGTATATAATGAGAGTAATGAAGAAAGTAACGAGTGAGCACATAACAAGCGAACTGATGATATATATTCAAAGTTACTTTGTATTAAAATTCAATTTAAAAAAAAAATACGTTATTAAAGGATTAGTCAGAGATGTTAACAGTTTCCTATTTTCTTTCATTTTATATATGTAATTCAAGAAAATTTTATTTAAAAAACAAGAATAGTGGTAAAAAGTGCTAAATGGATAAAATACGAACACTGTGAAGGTGATCATGAATTATTACTGAAATTATGTTGGAAGAGAGATCTGTCTTCAGGAATACTTAATTAATTATAACAATTATTGTGCAATTTTACAAATATGTAATACTAAAATTTCTATTATCTGTAATGACCGGTTATGTCCGATCTCCTAAATATTGCTATAAAAAATTATAAATTGAAATTAATTATATTAAATAAAAAAATAATAAAAATTTGTTTCACTTAGTCTTGTGATATAAACCCTCCCAACAAGAATTTGTTTCTTAAATGTCATTGCAATGGTTTGGTATATATTATTAATATATTATACTATATATGGAATGCTTTAACATAAGAAATAGTGGAACGTTTTTATATAACATAAAGATTTTTTGTGTATGATTTGATATATATTCACATATATGGTATGGCTATAAAAATTTTAAAATACTTTTAATTTTCGCTAGACTAATATTAATTATATATAGAAACCGGGTTATATAAAAATGTCTAAACAACATCTGTAAGTAAGAAACTGTAGAATTTGTAAAGGTGCTGTGAAGACCGTACTTTTATTATGAAGAACTCAGAAGAGCTGTTAAAGTAGCTGAAGTAGCTTTGCAGACTATTGTCCACAAATGTATTGAATATTGTAACTTTTACGCAATTTTTAGCATTACTCAAGGTCTTGACATTTAGATAGAATATCTTCTCACTCACATAATATAAATATTACATGATTACTTAAGTACTTAAGTAAAAATTTAGTACATAATTAGCATAAGAATTACTTTTCGTAAACGATAATTAACGTTTAATTATGATTTCGAATATATAAGCACCGTGTTTGGTTTGAAAGAACGAAATCTAGAAGTGTAACTATCGAACGTCACAGGTCAGATATCGACATCACCTTTCTGAATATTGATGTCCATATAGATTTCTCACATTCCCATAGGCAATATTGCAGAATGGTAACGTCAAATGTTTTTTGAAATATTAAGGCTGGTAAATATCAACATTATAAATAATCAATAGTCTTATTATGTCATTGCGCTGTCCCATATCTATAGAAATTTTTAAGCAAAAAATCGTTTAATTATAATGGACCAGGATAATTCACGACACAATCAGCTATGTGAACTGAATTGATTCAAATTTAGTATTAATTTAGTGCATAAAAACTTGAACTACATTATCTCGCCCACTGAGAATGTACTGTTTGAAGTTGTTAACTTCAAAAGAAACAACGTAATAATTCAAGATCTCATTAACAGATGTTAGTATATTTCGCATTTTGCATATTTCGTATATTAGGATTTTTAAATAGAGAATTAAAGACAACTCCTACATAAAAAATATTTTCTATAGTGAAAGGTTCCATATTTGGTAGTATATGAAACTGCTGTAGAGTCAGAAAAAAAAATTAATTTATTAATATGATATATAAAATATTTATAATATTTATATTTTTAAATAAAATGTAAATATGATAAAATAAATATTTTTTTTCTCTGATAAACTGTTTTTTGCAATTTTAATTCAAGTAAAGATCTGAGTTCTGAGTTCTGAGTTTCGAGTTCGAAGTTCGAATGCGAATAGGTGTAAGTGTGATTAACATATATAGAGCAATATATTGAAGATCGGTATTTTTTATTACATTATATTATTATTAATTATAATAATTATTATAAAAGTATTTTACTAAATGTAAAATGTAAAAATTTCTAATAAAAAATGTTTATTGCTGTATTCAATGACTAACGAGCTGTGAGGAGTGTTATGATTTTAATACTATTGTCTTCGATTTTAATTTTGCTATTGATTCCTTAACTTAATTTTATGATCTTACTACCACATGTACAATATAAGTTAATATTTTTTTTTTTTTTTGGAATACACATATTTAAATTATTTCGTTTAAGTTAGCTTTTATATATAATTTACGAATTTAGTCTTAGTCGTACATATAAGTTGCCAAATATATGTATATATTTAGATTTAGATTTTTGTTCTAAAAAGTTAACGTTCAACATTTGCTTTTAATACAATTGTTTCATAAATATTTTGTTAAATATAATCAGCAGAATTTATTCATATCTGTTATTTATAACTTATAAATAATTATTTTTTTTTGTTTTTGTAAATATTAATAAACTCTATTCTGAATACTTTAACAAATGAATACGAGTACATAACGCTATCAATCCCAAAATTACTTAGTTAAGTACAATTATGTAAATTCAGCTATATTATGAACAAATTTGTATATTATTTTTAGTAGTCAGCTTTTGTATCTTGTTTAGAAATCTTTGATTATTTGTGCTTAAATTTTTTAGTACTTCAGTTTTAGAGTTTAATCGATAGTATTAGTTTTTAGCACTGGGTACTAACAATATATAATTTTTTTTTAATTTCTGAAAGCTTTAGTACTCTCAGTTCATTTAATTACTTTTTTTTATTTCTATATACAGTTAAGTGTTTAGTTAAGTACTAAAAATATGTTTATAGTTATTATTTTATTTTAGTTTTCATATTTATTTATGTATATATATCATTAGTGAAAGGCGCATTATAATATTAATTAAATATGTGTTTAGTAGTTTAGTAGTTAATTAATCAATATAACTTAACTTAGTACCAAAAATATATCATAGCTTTTAGTACTTGACTCACAGATTTCAAACCTAAAATATAAATAAATTGCAACTAAATAAATTGACGTAAAAAAGTACAAAATTAAGTACATTGAAGAATATAAGAATATAAAATTATTTCGTAAAAAGTAATGCATATACGAACTTACATATTTCTATATATATATATAAATTCATATTGAGTCAATTGTATATATATACATCAAAACACATAAGTATGTATATGCAAATTGGAAAAAATATCACACTAGTTATATTTTTAAGTTTACATATATACGTACGTACATAGTTTTTAATACTAGTTTCATTTCTTTTATAAACATTAATAAAGATAGTGAGAAGAAGCCTGAGCTCTGTATTGTTTAGGCGTTAATTTAATTAGTTTTGGGTTAAAAGCACCCAATGCGGCCTCATTTGTGGATGACGGCGGTGGTGGTACGGTATGTGAACGAAAACGCGTACGCAAGAAATTTTGCATTGATCGAAGGCGTATTATTGGCGCACAAGGCGATTGTCTTAGGGTATTATGGTTGAGAGCCCAATAAATAACTGGACTTATAGCTGAGTACATGTAACCTGTAACAAAGTAGTTTTTATATATTATATACTTATGTATTTAATGAAATAAACATTTTTAGAGAAAATTTTTTTGATGAATATAAACAAAATGATTAAAAACATTATAACGTTATAACCTTGAAGAAGACTTCAGTGTCATTTTTCGAAAAAATTTTATTTTCTTTTTCAAACGACTAATATCAACTAAAATAAAAAACCAACAAAAGATAAAATAAAATTATAACTAAATGTAATCACAAAATTTTTTATTTAAGTGCCTTATACCATGTTCCCACTGCAACTAAATTAATTTATAGTAATCAAATTAAGATTTGGTTGTTTTCATTGACATAAGTAATTTATGCTTTTAAAGAGCTTTTATTTTTCAGAAAGCTTTGTGAAAATTCAAGGAGTTCTTTTGTTAGTATACATTTTAAATGTTAGCTGATATTTAGTTTTATTTTTTCATCAGAAATGTTTATATACATTTTGTTTAATGTGTAAATATGTTGAATTTCGATTATTTCCCTTCCGGGGAATATATTTTGCAATGTGGCATTCTACATTTTTGGTGCAATTTCACTTAATTTGTTATTAACTAAGTTGGAAAGAACGAAAGCTCTTTGTATGGTTAATCAATTTCAGTGTTTTACATGCAGTGAAACTGCTTTAATGAAGGCAATGTGAACACACTATTAGAGTTGTATCTGCAATCGAAGTGGACAAAATATATTCAGCCTTTGAAAAGATAGTCCATCGAGCTTACATATGAACAAAAAAGTAGATTAGCAAAACAATATGTTGTGTTTTGTTTTTGTATCTGGTAAAATTTTTTTTTAAAGAGTAATACACAACAATGCTTGCTCTGATTTTAGATGAATAAACACTGATGTGTCAAAAGATAGTATTCTCCATTTTGTATTAATTAGTTGTGTTACATATGGTAACTCTGCTATACCGTAAAATTTTTTTTTAAGCAGAATCGTATAAATAGCAGAATTTAGATAGAATAGTAAAAAATTTTTTTATTAACAATCAACAAAAAGTGTTAGCAACGAATGCTTTCTCCCCAAGGACGGTCTGTCGCCGTGATGATCGAAAACAAAACAAACTGGGATCGCATAGCAATGTTTGCTGAAAAGAACTTAAGGTTGATTAAAGTAAATTTCAACAAAAACAGCTGGAGCAAGTACTTGTATCACGTCAAGATGAAGTGCAAGTCTAGCCAGCTAAAGTAGCAGCGGGATTCGGACGCAGGTTACACCGATGACAGTCTTAAATTACTAATAGGGACTCTACCACTGATTAATACTAACGTAGTCCCGGTGATTGGTCGGGGCACCGGAGTATAGCCAATGCGGCAGGCGTGCCTCCTTTTCCCGTCGCAAAAAAAAAAAAAATGATCATTAATATATTTATCGACTGTCATAAGTTTTTGTAAATATAAAGCTATATTGTATATTGGATATATTGTATTTGAGTAATAACGAGCAATTAAATTGACATATATATCTTTCTTTATTATAAATATAAATATAATATGTATAATTTAACTTACCAAGCAATAAATTGAAGTAAGTTGAAGTTGTAGTGCAATATTGTCTATATCCAAAGTTTTTGTAAAACACACAGAAAACATGTGGCGCCCAACAAGCTATGAATATAACAGCAGATGCGATCAACATATTTGCTAGACGACGTCTTGAACGTAGGGTAGATGTTTGAGGTAGAGGTATACCAGGTGTGGCTGGACCACGTACACCTTGATTGTGGTTTATACGTTGCCGTTGAGAATGAGCACGTATTTCACGCATTGCTCTGAAGATTTGAAGAAAGAATAAAGAATATGTTATTTATAATATCTATACACTCCCTTAAATATACATAAAATAACGGTGTTGTAATTTTAATTAGAAATATTATTAAAAATTAGTTTTCATTCGGTACAAGTATTGGGTACATATTCGACTCTAATGAAAACAATACATAATTCAATACCACACGCAATAAAATTGCGAACAGTTTAACGCACCTCGGGGAAATGGGATTGGATGATTTTATAACATTTCGGTTTGGCATCGCAGTAGTGGCTGTTGCAGCTCTTGTCGGATTTAGATTGTGCAATTGTATGTCACCGCCATTTGAAGTATCATCAGTTGTACCACAACCAGCGGCCTGTTGAGCATTGGCAATGCCAGTCACGATAACCATATGCGTTTGACGACGTAAAATTGGCATTGGTAACGGTAGTTCGCCGTGAGCGGCACGCGCGGTCAACGAAAGTGCACATAATTTCCTCCTGACCCCGCAGTGATTAAGCAATACACCAAATCCTGGTATGATAAATACGGCAATCGTATGGAATATAATAAACGAAACAAATACTGCGTTGGCACCCAACTCAGATGTGCAACTGATACTGACATTAGGTTGATGCATTTGTGATGCCCCATCTGTACTGTGGTTGTTGTGATTTGTGTGCCTCACTGTCTTAGCTATAATTTTATACGCGAAGAGGAATGGGGTGCTGACAGCCGCAGAGGCTATCCAGGACAGCAAAGCCAGCGAAACGTGCAAGTATCGACGCTGACGTAATTGAGCTAAACGTGGGTGTTTAACGGTGGCATAACGGTCTAATGACAGCATGAAAAAGGAAATTGTGCTAGCGGCAACAGGCATAATCTGCAAATGAAACAATAATTCTGTTACGCAATCGAGTTCTTCTTTGACAATTAGAAATACCTATACCTGTATGTAATGTATTACTTTGCATATAATCAAAGGCAAAGATTTTGTCTTCCGGTTCATTGCTAAATTCAGCAGCGTCACTGGGGCTGATATTCCAGTTACAAGCAAATCAGCTATGCAAACAGCCAGTAGCAGTGGATTTCGTAAACGTACCGAAGACGCAGAGCATAATGTGAGCACCAATGTGGCATTGCCCAACACACCCCCAAAGACGACTAATCCATATGAAATCGCCATAAACAATAATGTCAAGGATGGTATGACGTTGTCACTACTATCGCCTATATCATACGGATTGGATAATGTGTAATTGCCTACTACCGTGCTGTCGTAATCATCAATATCACCAAAAGATTGATGCAATGGACTAAAGTCAGAAAATGGATCATTTATATTTGCTTTGTAGTTTGTGATTGATGCAGCGGTTGTTGCGACGGTTACAGATCCTGATGCTGAAGCGGATGATGTTGGAGACATGGCATGTAACTTCTGTTCTAACATCGATAAATGCAGACCATTGGGATCGAATATGTGCTGAGGCTGTTGATGCTGGTATGTTTTTTCCCACCATTGTTGCCAGTTGTTATCGTTCATTTTTTAGAGGAATAAATGCTTAATGCTGTTGTTATTATTACTATTAATGCTAATGATGCTAATGCTGTTGATTGCTGTCACTTGATGTGTTAGGATATATAATTTATAAGTAAATGGGAATTCAGCAGTATTTGTGTAAAGCTTCTTCATTTCATCAAGTGTAGTTTCTGTTAAGAATTGAAAGAAAAGCTCAAATAAGAAGTCGCAAATAATATTTTTTGTTTATGTTTAATATAGTTTCAATATATTAATTTTAACATAATCTTAATGATTATTCGGCTATAATCTAAAAGCTTCCTTCTCGCTTGATATTAGAACATTCTCAGGAGGAGTTATTTGTACGACTGAGTATTTTCTGTTAAGTAAGTCAATAGAGACAATAGATAGACAATAGTTCTTACGTGGTCGTAGTGTTCAGTTCCGTCGGGAGCAAGTATCCTATTAATTTTTATTACTTTTATGATTGTTGGTAATCTTATTACCAAATACAATCTTAGCTTAATTCGCTAAAAATTAAATCGTCAAAAGTTGACCTGAATATTTGAACTAATAACCTACCATATTTAATCAACGGACAAAACATTGCAGTTATCAGGTGTTTTATTTACCTAGATAGTGTCTTAATAGATGTCAAGGCACAAAAGAACATTATAAGACGCCAAGCAACGAAATATGTAAGGTCAAAAAATGTAATACTTGTGTAAAATCGGCGCTTCTTTACTGTACTCAGACTCTGGTACTCATGATGAAAACAAAAAAAAAAATTATAATGCTTTGTAGACATATGTCAGTGATTTATTTTTTATATATGGTGATCCAGGATAATTTTGAATAAAGAACTATTAAGCAGAATATTAACACTGCAGTAAAAAAAGGAAGTGTATTCGGTTAGACTTTAAATAAGTCCTGTGATGTTATTCTTCATACATCGCGAACTGTGAGGTACAAGACGGAGAAGCACAGTGTTTACTGAAATAGGAATATCATCATGGAACATCTTAAGCAAAGCGGGGAAGGACAGTCCTTTGTGAAAGTGGGATATCATTTAATAAGCTGCGATTTACAATACCCAATTAATACCTCGGTATTTTTGTAAAATGCTTAAGCTCCCAAAAAAGTGAAAGTAGTGAATTAATAATAATATTTTTGAAAAACTATTCTCAATAGACGTTATTTTTATTTTTATACGAAGAAGCGAATATCTTAGGTTCTGTAGGTCTAGTTTGTGACATAAAAGATCTATCATAGACGCAATGTTCCATAATAACAATAAAAATCGCTAGCTCTAAAAATACTTAATTTTTTTCAGATAAATCGAGTAAGAACTGTAGTAGATATATTCAGGGTTAAGCGATTGATTTGATGTTACCAACTACACACAGGTATATCTGTCAAACTGATATTGACAACTACATGAAATTCATACGAATGACTGCTCTTTATATTGTTTATAGAACTAAAATTATTTGAAATAGAATTCAATAATAATAATGTGATTGCGTTATATATGGCTGTAAAATCACAACCAGCTTTTGTTCGTGAGCTCAAACACCTCAAAGTGAATAAATCATAAATCGTTATAATAGTATAGGCAGCGTTGCCAAACGCTATAGTGATGGACGATAAAAAACACCAACATCACTTGACTTTAATGAAATCCACGTGGCAGTGGTAAAGAACTGAATATACCCTATCAAAGCATCCGACACATATTCTAAAATGAGCTCAAGTTAAAGACTTACAGGTTCCAAAAAGCGCAAGATCTTACACTAAAGCAACAAAAAGTTAGACTCCAAAGAGGAAAGAAGTTATTATGCTTGCACGAACGTGACAAATTCCCAAATATTGTGTTCTTTGATGGGAAAAATTGTCCCATTGAGCAGTTCATTACCGTTCACTGCAAGTAATGGTAAGAGCACCTATGACCGCCGATGGACGCTTTCCAATCGTTTTCATCAAGTCTGTTGTCAAAGTCATTGCAATTTATTAACAGAAAAATGTTTTGGAAATTGCTTTAGAGCCGCAGTCACGTAAATACTTTGGTCGTAGACCATGGACGTTCCAACAAGACTCTGCATCGTCTCATAAAGCACCGGCTCGTGTAAACCAAGAATGGTTTAAAAATCTTGTTCAACACTTCATTTCGTCTATACAATGGACGAATGGCCTTTGAATTCACCAGTTGCAAATTCGTTGAACTATTCCATCTAGGCCATCGATGGACTCATCTTGGAGAGCAAGGTGGGTACTAAAAAATATGTCAGTATGGATGCGTTAAAGAAATTCATTATTTAGTTTCAGGAATGGGCTGAAAAACCGAAAGATCGTATTCGTAAAGCATGCAACTCATTTTTTTGATGAAGGCCATAGTCAAGACAATAGGTGAATGGATTCTGAAATTTTGATTATTTTCACAAATTTTTGTAACTCGAATCAATAATATCAGACAAGAAAAATATGGTCGCTTAAATAGGTAACAGCTCCCATTTGAGCAGAGCACCGCGACCATGATTGATCTTTTATGCTACAACAGACACTAACTAAACAAAAGACATTCCGCCTTTCGAATGAAGGCCAAAATGTCGGTTGTTGAGGACCTCCTAACGTCGGAAGGTGCTAGCAATTCCCGACCCAGTGATCTCCTCCTGCCCCAGATCAAAGCTGGGCAGTCAAATAGAATGTGGCTGGTTGTCTCCTCTGCCTCTAAGCAGAGTCTACAATCTATCTCTTCGGATAGGCCCATTTTGTTGAGATGGTAACGTAGCCCGTTAGATATCCCACTAGCAACCTCAACTCTGTTTTGCTAAAGGAGGATATCTTATTATAACTATAGGGGAGCTGGTTAGCTCTTTAGCCTGACGGTTACCTCGACTGTCGCGCCAGTAGTGACTTCTCTCGGTTGAAATCCAATTATTGATTAGAGACGTAGTTGTTGTAGAGGATGATAGTTAGTCTAGAAAAGTTTCAGTAAAAACTTTTAAGTAACAATGGAATGTATAGAAAATTCTATTATTTTGTAATAGATTACTAATCATCTTATGCACAGTGGCTTGCCCAGAGCACTTATGTGCAACACCTTGGTTTCAATTTTCTTGTCACATTTTTATCAATTTAAATTTTTTTTATCGCCATAAACTTAAAAAACCTTACATTCCCTTAGGTTTGCGGTAAATAAGGCAAAATCCAATGAAGTGTGGCTTTCGTACAATGCAAAGTGGATTGAAAAATATAAGATACAATATTTAAAAACGAATGAATATGTATGTTATGCAAACTGCTACATAACATCACCTTCAGAAAGTAAAGCTGAAGAATGGAATAATATGATATCGTACAATGTACAATGTACAATATACAATATAATATATGAAAAAAATAAAAATAAAAATAAAAATGACTGATGATTTTTTTTTTTTTGTTTTTTTTTTGTATTTGTTCAAGTTCATTACATTTGAATGTAATGTAAGCATACAATTGCGTGTGCTTCTTAGTTGATGCGAATTTAACCTTGTGGGTGGCTTTAAAGTATCTTTGTACTTCACTTTGTGTACTTATTTGTGACACAGATACTCGCATCCATGAAACGAGCAATGGCAGCCATAAGGCAGGTACCATGTAAGCACAGGATGATGATGATTGTGTTGAATATGAGTTTTGCGGATGGAAGGATGGAACGATGATGGTAGGATGCCTGCAAGGCTGGATATTGTTTGTGAAATGAATTGTTTACATTTTTCTTAAAAAGTTTTTAAAGGATTTCAAACAAAACAACAACAATAAAAAAAATGAAATTCAAGGATTGCCTTTTTCGAGTATGTAAAATAAATAAAAGAAATAATAAATTTCTTTGTTGCTTCACGCTGTGCTTTGAAAAGTTTAAATCAAGTGAAAAGGTGATAAATTATAATGAAATTTATATGATTTTAAATGGTAACTAAACAAAAAATTGTTAAATAAATATTTACCTTAGGGTGGTGCTTAATAATACGGAAATTGTTTCTTTTTAAGTTTTTATTGAAGAGAGAGTGATTGAATTGCTTTCTGACTTTTGAACTTTTGATTTTATTTAACTTTTGACAATAAGCTAAAATTAGGTATAAAAGTCTGTACTTTTAGGAAAAAGAAAAAATACTTTATATCTTATAAATTGTTTAAAAGTTTAATTGCTATTATTTGATATCCAGTTGTTTTTATCCAGTGAAGAAAGGTTATGAAATAAATGTTAAACTTCAATCAAGAAATTCCGAACTCCTATCACTCTTATCTATCAAATAACTAAAGATGTAGGATGTCAAAGAGGTAGCAAAGAATGCATAAAATTACAACAATGATGGCTAAAAAGAAAGAAGCCTTAGAAAAATAAAAACGAAAGTCCTGAAGTTCGAATTTAGCAAAAAGTTAGAGAGGTTGTATGTCATAGAGGTGGCAGAAAATATATAAAATTACAAGAATGACAACTGGATGGAAGTTACAGAAGAATCAAGAAAAAACTTCGAACTTTTAATCTATCAAAGGTGTAAAGGTATGGGGTCTTAAAGAGGCAGCAGCAAATTTATAAAATTATTACAAGATTAATAACAGAGTGGAAGTTTCAAAGAAATAGAGAAGGATTTCTGAATTTCTATTCCATCAGAAAAAAATATATTCAGGATCTTATCTATTAAAAAGATAAGGGTGTAGGGTCTTAAAGAGGCAGCAGCAAATTTTTAAAATTACAAGATTAATAACAGAGTGGAAGCTTCAAAGAAATAGAGAAAAAATTCTAAATTCAAAAAAAAAAAAAAATCCAGAATCACTGAATGGAAGGTTCAGAAGAATCAAAAAGAAACTTAAAATTTAGAAAATTACAATAGAAATAGAGAAAAACTTCAAAGAAATAGAGAAAAAATTCTGAATTACTATTCTATCAAAAAAAAAAAAAAATTCAGAATCACTGGATGGAAGGCTCAGAAGAATCAAAAAGAAACTTCAAACTTCTAATTCATCAAAGAGATAAAGGT